AGATGACAAAACAGGCACTGATATTGTGTGACATGTCATGGGACATCGTCTGCTTATGCACATCATGTTCAACATGTGACGTCATATCTCAGCAGCGACTGGGGAGCCTTTTCAGGTGCTATGTCGGGGCTACATCTGAGCGTTTTGTAAATGTTAATAATCATTACTTCAAATGTTTCCAAGCATTGGCTTTTGATAACCTTGGCCAATCAAAGTGTCACCTTTGCAATAATGACATTAAAGTTAGTTTTTTTAAATCAATGAACCCTCTCTTTAACTGTGGAAGTTGTCCCATTTTCTGAAGTGAAGTGTTAAAGTGCCTCTCTCCCCCGCTAATTCCTTTTCTTCTTGCCTATTTTCAAAAATTCTTTTTTTAATTTCTTGAGGAATTGGGGGTCTATTTTGAGTTGAACTATATTTAAAAATCATATGTTTTGTTAAAAGAATAATGAGATTTAACAGTTGTTCTTATCCCACATTGGATCTTTTTATCCCGATATGAATTTCTTGCCAATGTAGATTTTTTAACGCTGATAAGGAAAAAAGGTCACCGCAGTCCTTCCAAATATTTGCTACCTTTTCACAGGTAAAAAACAGATGCTCATAGGTTTCTTCGTGTTTATTGCAAAAGGAGCAAAGATTGCTCACTACATGTTTGAAAGTGTATAGATGCTTATTTGTATAAATTAAATTATATTATACAAATAATGAATGGTTATGAGTTCAATAGTGCGAATATGTTCATGAGTTGAAAGATTAACATTCTATTCAACGAGGCGTCAGCCGAGTTGAATAGAATTAACGTTAATCTTTCAACGAATGAAAATATTTGCACTATTAAACGAATGAAAAACATTCATTATTTGTTTTATACAACATCGAAGAAGACCTAATAGAACGTTAATCAACAAATTATGCTTTACTCCTTATAAAGATAAATTACAGTTCGAGTCAAGCCTTCTCAATTACATGCAGATTGCCTTCGCGTCAGATACACGCAGGGATACGCGCACATGCAGCAGAGAGGTACGCAATCTGCATATAACCAAAAATGCACGGCGCATATAACCAAAAATGCACGACCGTGCAATATACCATCTATTGAATATCATGTGACCAACAATCGTCCAATCAAATGACAAGGATTCACGTAGGTGTTGTATAAAACATTTTATATTGAAATTCCCTCAGCTTTCTGTCTATAGTGGATTTTCGGGGTCTTAAGAAAATTGTTCTCGTGTCATTTTCGACCATATTGTACGTACGTTCTAAGTTGCATGTAGCATAAGATTTTTCCGTTCTCATTTTTAACAATGTACTATAGATATATTTTGATGTTATGCCTTGCAAAGAGTGAGGGTGTCCGTTAATAATGAATTCTAAACTTAATTCAGTATCCTCACAAGGATGTTCATATATATTCAAAAGAGTTTTCCATGAGAATGGAATGCCTTCATATAACTGTTTTATTGTATTTATTTCAATTTTGTTTAAACCCATTTTCTTAAATACTGTGATAGATTTCAATTCACCTTTCTTATCAACAATATGATGTATTTTAAAAACATTTTTCAGAAATAAGTCTTCATGGAAACATATTTGCCCCTGAATGCGGATACATCTATTATTGTAAATAATTTGATTTCTTTTTGAAATTTCGTTCTTAAGCAAAAAGGCTTTTGTCCCCAGCCAAGCCTTCAGCATGCTACGGTAAAAATCTGGTAATGACAGTGCAAGTAAATCTGGCGATACATTACTGAAAAAAATCAAGAGGCCGCCATATTTTCTAGTCAGGTATTTAAAATAACGTTTCCAAATCATATTTGAATCTCCTGTTATAAGTCTTTTCATCCACATGATTCTTTGTGTTCGAATAAATAATTGAAAATCTGTCAATTTAAGACCTCCCTTATCGTAATCTAAAAACATAGTACTCCTTTTGATTTTATCTTTTCCATTCCATAAAAAATCAAATATTAACACTTCAATTTCACGGAATGCCCACGGCGGTACAGGTGTGAGTGATGATACATATACTAATTTTGATAAAACAAAAGTCTTAATTAGTTGAATTTTCCCCATCAAAGTCAAATCTCTTTGTTTCCACCACATAAGCAGCTTTTTAATTTTACTTAAGATTTCTTTGTAATTGATTTTTTCCTGGCTTTCCACGTCTAACGTAAACTGTCTAACGTAAACTGTATACCTAATATCTTTACAATGTTTACTATCTTACCAAATGGAACTATTACATCTTTATCCGCGTTAGGACCCAACAATAATACAAAGGTTTTGTCTCTATTCATCTTCAATCCAGACATATCTGCAAAACTAGTAAACAATGAGTTTAGTCTATTAACAGATTCAATATCTTGAACAAACACCGACATGTCATCTGCATAAAGAATTTGTTTAACGTGAATATCATCAAAGGGAATCCCATGAATAGCCGAGTCGCTGCGGATTGCGCGAGCAAGAATCTCAATGCAAAGTAAAAATAAATATGCAGACAAAGGATCACCTTGCCTTACACCTTTCTGAATAGAAAAATATCCAGTTGATATGTGTCCATTGAAAACACAACTTTGAGCCTTATTATAAATTATTTTCACCCATTTACAAAATGTCGGTCCAAAACCAAAGGCTACTAAGACCTTTTGTAAAAACATGTGTGAAACCGAGTCAAACGCTTTTTCAAAATCTATCGCTAACAAATAAGCAGGTATTTTATTTTGAGTTGTATGAAAGATCATGTCGTCAATTAACCGAATAGCTTCACCTATATTTCTTTCCTTTAGATATCCCACCTGATCAATCCAAATAACTTCTGGTAATACTTTTTTAATTCTTGTTGAAAGAGCTTTTGTTAAAATCTTGTAGTCCACATTAAGTAAGGAAATGGGTCTGTAGTTTTTAATTTGTAACGGATCTTTGCCTTCTTTATGAATTAAAGTAATTACTGCCTGTTTTTGTGAGTGGGAGAGTTCTCCCTCACAAAAGGATTCATTCAAAGCATCGACCACTATACGTCTCCTATTACCGGCCAAAATAATGAATAAAATTCAACACTTAAACCATCGTTACCTGGTGTTTTGTTAAATTTCATTTCTTTCAAAACTGCCATACATTCCCTCTCGGTAACTTTCCCTTCACAAATATCCTTAGAGTCTGGATTTAGTTTGGGTAGATTTGTGAAAAAAGCATCACTAGAATTGGAATCTACCGTGGAATGCGCATATAGTTTGCTATAAAACTTGTGTATTTCTTTAATTATGTCTCTCTGATCAAAACTTATTTTCTCTTCATTTATCATTAGTTTTCTGATTACTGTTTTTCTCTTATTTGATTCCATCAATTGGGAAAAGTAATTAGTATTTGTTTCTCCTCTTTCAAAGTACGATGCTCTAGAACGAATTTTAAGTCCTTCATTAATATAATCATAGCATGCTTTTAATTCTCTTCGTTTCAGTTCTAAAGATGCAATCTTCTCATTATCTACTGCTTTCAAAAGATCTTCTTCAAGGGAGAGTATTTCTATTTCTAGATTCCCAATTTTTTTCCTTTCTGAGCTTTGCTTTTTCTTTCGAATATTTTCTGATAAACTGTTTATTTTCATTTTCAAAAAATCCCATAAAACTCTTTTACTTTCTATTTCTGTTTTATAGTCCTCTTTCAGTTCAATGATTGCGATTTTCATTAACACGATGAACTTTTCATCTTTACATAAAGTATTATTAAATTTCCAATAAGATCCCTTGAATTTGATATCATTCGAAGGTAAATTAAAAAAGTTTAGTTGTACAGCTGAATGATCAGGAGCTATAGATGATATTATATTGCATTTTGATATTATTTCATCTAGTTTTTCGGATACAAACCAATAATCAAGTCGACTTTGCATAAAAGGATTGATTTGTCTATACGTAAATTGTTTTTTCATTCCATTTCGCACTCTCCAAATATCAATCAAATTTAATCTATCCACAAAATTTTCAAAGAGTCTACCAAATTTTGAGAGAACCTTTCGTTTACCAGTTCCCATGTAATCCAGGTTAAAATTGCTGATCATGTTGAAATCACCTCCTATTATTAGCTGATTATTTTTTCCATATACATTGGCTATTGTAAGCCTTAACCCTTGTATAATGCACTCCATTATAATAAACCTACCGTTATCATCTGCAATTACATTAATGACTTGAATATCTAGTTTAGAATCAAACAAAATAAGAACCCCTTTACTATGACTTGTCCCATGACTAAAATACGAACTACCATTCCATAGTGCCTTCCATTCGTTTTCTACTTCGTTGGTGCTACTCTCTAAATTTGAAAGTCTTATTTTTAAATCTTAAAGTCTTACTTTTACTGGTCTAGCTAAGCCATTAGAACCATTTGGTAAAACTTCCAACCAATTGAACGGCAACAACACTTCAATACTGGTACGTCTGTATTATCAATGTAAAGGCATCGGTAATAAGTAGACTTATACATAATTTAATTAATCTAATTTTTTTTCATATACTTGTATTTTATTGAAATTATTTTAGTTCATAGTTAATGTTTCCCTTATTCATGTTTAATTAAATGGAATTCATACGAAGTAGCGAAATGTCCTAATAACTTGTAATTTATATTTGTAGTATTTTCGAAATGAATTGCATATACCTAAATCATCAGTAATTAAGAAATATGCTGTAAATTCAGAAAAATTGTTAAAAAAACATAGATCTGCACGCACCCCATATTCAATATGCAAATTAATTGGTGTCAGCTGGTTCAACTGGAAATATGCCAACAGTCAGTCATCAACAGGTGCAACTGGAAATATGCACATCTTATTGGCGAGAAGTTTAAGTCTTTCCAAGATTTATATCTAGAAGCTGGTTTCGATAAAACTTTTAGTCGAATTCCCAATTTATTAAGTCTTAAAGACTTGAAATATTTTAAGTCTCAAAATGGATTTAAAATTTAAGTCCTAGAAATTAAGAGAGTATGTATATAATTATCCTGCGCATAAAATGTCTCTACGTATTCTATATTTTCCTACTTTCATTTTACCCAATACAAAAAGAAAATGAGAGATTTTCTTACATGCTCCATACATCCACTTTGGGGCCATATCGCTTCCTGGCAATAATCTCAGGCGCTGCATAGGCAGGACTCCCGCAAAGCGTTCCCGCAAAATCCCTAGTCCCGAATACATCCAATGTTCTATTCCTCAGCATATTCCGTCTCTTTTCTGGCGAATCCTGCTCTTCGGCGCCCATCCGACGGTGTATGTCTTGTCCAGAAAATCGAACATTCCCTCCATTAACTCGGACGCTATTTTGTTTCGGGTTGGATCTAGTCATGTTCGAGTGTTCCTTGCTGCTTTTCCGCTGCAGTCCCGCTCTTTCGCGCCACGTTTCTTGGCCGTTGTCCTCGCGAAGAGAAGATCCTCTGGTCCTTCGTTTGGTCCCGTCATCAGAAGGAAGCCGCGCCCTGGCCACGCCCTTGGGCTCACCTGGTCTACCTGGTCCCCCACTATCATCACCCGTTGCGCCATTCCTTCCTCCGACGGTTCGGCTCACTCTCCGGCTAGCGCGTACGTCCGCCTGTTTGCGGCTTGAGAAATCCCGTTCCCTCTTCTTAGCATCCCGAAGATCGGTTTCTCGTTCCAGATTCCCGATGAAATTACTCAGTCCAAAATCTAGACCAAAAATTAAAAAATAAAAATAATATAAGTATTATTTCAGTAATTGAGATAGGAAGCAATATTAAAGCATGAACGTATACGTGTTCAATTTTCCAAGTGATTCCTTTCCATCATCAAAATATTAATTTCCCTCCATTATTCCGTAAGCCTCGATCCGAAATCCGAATTCAGAACCGTCTGATTAAGAGTTGAAATGTTGATGCAACAAAGAACGTTGCCTAACCTTTCGCCATATTATCATTGAAAGTTGAACTTACCTATTATTCGAATTTTGTCGTTGTCGTCAAGAAGAAGATTCTCGACTTTCAGGTCTCTGTCGATTGTTTTAAAGACATGAAAGAAATAATTACATTCTATTTACATTCCCAATTGATTATATAGGTCAGTAATAAAACAAAACTACATGCATACGTACTGTGTAATAGTTTTAATGTTTGCCTTTTTTCTATTGGAGCAGAACATGTTAAGAACCTTCATAGCCCTTCTAATCGCTACATTTAGTTGGATAACTATTAAACAGGATAATGATCATTATTTTGCCATGTTTGTTTATACTCATTTTCTTTTTCTAAAAGAACAAATATAAACCTCAAGATTTCAATTAACATAAATTTGCAAATGAATGGGTATTTCAACTTCAAATGGAAAGAAACCCTGCAATTCAATTTACCTCACATTTTGACAAAAATATTTAAACCCCGCTTCGCCACTTACTTTATTTTACAAAACGTATCAAAATCATGTTACCTATGTACCACGCCCATTTGATGCATGTGGTACACGGCCGAAGCCACCTGTTTGATGTACCGTCTGGCCACGCCCTCTTCCAATCCGCCCTTCTCACACACCCTATCCAGCAGGGGCCCGCCCCCGCACAGCTCCAGTACCAGGTAAAGGTTGTTGTCCGTTTCCATGACTTCGAGAAGGCGAACGATGTGGGTGTGGCCAAGAAGTTGGAGAAGCCCCGCCTCTCTACGGAGCGTCTTGTGGAGGTAGGCGTCCTCCCTCGCGGCTTTCTTGTCAATTATCTTGATGGCAACCTAGAAAACAAACATTGACGGAAATACCATTAAAGATTATGAAAATTATGAAAATGCTAATTCTGATACTGATGAAGATAGTGGCGGTGGAGGTGGTAATGATGGTGATGATGATGAGGATTGCGATAATTTGTAGTGTTGCTTATTTTACCTGACTGCATAGAAAGCATAAATGCTTGTTAGTAACCAGTCCGAGGACCGACAGCTTTAGGTCCTCTCCGAGAGACCTGGTATTGAGGATTAATGCCTTACTAAAGGGCACAAGCGCATCGTCTTGGTTTCGAACCCGGGTCGTCGGATTATGATACCACTGCCCTACCAACTGAGCTATCGCGCCTCCATGAAAAGAAAAAAAATAAGACAATGGTGATAACTCTAACAATAATAATAAATTATTGCAAACGGATGCCGCTACACTGCTGCTGTTGTTATATGTGTACCTCCAAAATTAACTATTTAATAATAATAATAATAATAACCCAGAAAATGCTTCTTGGCAAAGACCCCCTACATTATACGTTATAATCTAAATCATTTTCCAATTACATTTAGATAACAGTATGTTTCCCGGTCTAACAATCTTTGTCAGGGTCCATGAGAAAATGAACATCGTGTCAAGTTGAGATCATAAAGGTCCAGATCTAACTAAGTATCTTCTCCCGGTTCGGAGGTTGATTGCAACATCTCTCCATTTCACTCTATCTTCTGCCATTCTGGTGCACTCTTGCAGTTTTAGTCCACTCCAGTTCTTGACATTCTCTTCCCAGTTAATTCTGGGTCTCCCTCTAGGTCTACTTCCTTTTACTCTTCCTTCCAATACATCCTTTAAGAGGCTTTGGTGCTTTTTAACATGACCAAAGTATTTGATTTTCTCTCCTTAATTAATCCTACTAGTGCAATTTGTTTACGCCCTGCCATGTGCAATATCTCTTTGTTGGTTTTCATTCATTTCCAGAATGTTTTCATCATTCTTCTGTAAATCCACATTTCAAAAGATGTTATTCTATTTTCCATGGCCTTGCTTATTGTCCATGTTTCCACTCCATACAAAAGGACAGACCTTACATAACAGTTTACTAGTCTCAACCTAAGCTCAAATTTCACCTTTCTATTTGTGAATGATCCTTTCGTTGCCAGAAATGTAATCCAAGCAATTTCTATTCTTCTTTTTATTTCTGCTTCGAATCTAGCATCATCTGTGATATTTTGTCCTAAGGAAACGTAATTACAGACCTGCTCAATGAATATGTCCATCGAGTTTCAAATATATTCTAGGCTTATTCTCTGTTCTACTAAAAATCATTGACTTAGTTTTCTTGACATTCATGCTTAGACCAAACTCTTCACTCTTGACTTTTACAATATCCCATACATAATGTAAATCTGCTTCATTCTCTGTGCAAAATACAGTGTCATCAGCTTATGTAAAGTATTAATATTTACACCCCCAATACTAACACCTTTCATATCTGAAATTTCCATGAATACAAACTCTGTGCATATTATCGGTAAATCTAAACTTTTTGCATTACGAATTTTTGAAGGAAAACAAATCAGTGTTCTATTACTACTTCACATTGTCTTTATCTTAAAACTCTAGGGCCCGTCTTATAAAGAGTTGATATCAATCGCAGCTTATTTGCGACTGATATATATCGCAACTATATGTACATAAGAGATAGGAGACTGCAAACTTGCGATTGATTTGGATCAGTCGCAACTCTAAGACGGGGACCAGATCTACAGCTTAAAACCGAAGTTCGAAAAAAACGAAATATTAAATGTGATACAATACTTTCAAAAGGTCCATCCCTCGACTCGAATTATGAGAATGAGATAATTGAGATAGTTAAGTCATATCATTCTAATCTGAAGATGTATATAGCCCACACAAAGAGACGTTCTAAAATTAAACTGGTTTCATGAATACCGCGCTCATCTCTCTCACTCTTCTCTCTGTGACATTTTTAGTCCAAGAAATTGGATCTGGAAATCAAAGACGAGTGTGGGCACTTCGGTCCCAATTTAGACCAAACTGACCGATACGAATGACTTGTTTTACATAATTATGCGCCTTTGTCCAAAGTTCGCCAGTTACTTGATGTTATTCTAATCTAAATGACCGTGAACAATCACCCCTAAATATAGCACCCGTGGTCTGTGAATACTGGTTGTGGCAAACGGTTCGGTCAACTTGCCCAATACAATTTTTGTCTGGTATAATGGGCGTATGTTTTTTCATGTATAATATAGTTAATCAACGTGAGAACAAATTAGATCATAAACAACACGATAAAGGGAAATCATACTTAAACATTGTTCAATGTTTAGGTTGGATTAAAACAAAAACGTATGTCTATATTCGCCCGTCAGATCCAAATTCCACCAGGATCACTCTGGGTAAACAAGACATATTATTATTATTATTATTATTATTATTATTATTATTATTATTATTATTATTATTATTATTATTATTATTATTATTATTATTATTATTATTGCGGAAACCAAGGAGGTAGCGCAAATGACAATTGCCGATGTCTTTTTTTAATTTGATTTGATTTAATGTTCTGAAATAATGTAATGCATAAACGAGGTATAACGGCATAAAAGAAATGTGCTGAGATGACCTTTCGCATTTGCTCCCGTATTCTACTCCATAATGTTTTAAGATCCATAAAATAACATTTGATTCTCTCTATTACATTTTTTTTAATTCATAGATTTCGGAGGTCTCGCTTTTCACTTTATCTCATTTATTCAGATGTGATTTTGTTTGATTTCTGCTTGTTCCCTCATACTACGCATTCAACAAATGATAGAAAATCACAATCTCCGTCTTATGAAGTAATATATTCTACCTTAAATATCATTTTGCATTGCAATGAAGGCAAAGATTGGTACACCTGAATCGATCTAATACGATTAATGAATTAGACGGGCTGCAATTTAGGAATAAGCTAAACTCGTTGCAATAGTACGACCATTTTAAAATTATCAGTAACTGACGAATTATGTTTTTAATGGGTCTATGGTTGTCATGACAACAAGTTCAATGCGACAATGACAAGGTGACGGTATAAAAAAAAGACGACAGCTAATTATCAAGTTAAGATCGACTTATGATACATAACATTATTCATAAAACTTAGAAAGGGTGTCTCAACCAATATATCGAAGATATAATACGGAATAGTCCGCAATACAAACTGAACTCTTACTGTAAATATAATAACAATAAAACACATTAAACTATTATATCAACTTTTGTAAAATAAATTCAATGCTAAACTATAGCATTCACACATTTAAACCTTGTATGTATTTCAGAAATAAAGTTTTTAAAATATATATTTGACATTTTCTATTGATAACATACAACGAATGATAAAAACCATAATAGTTTCAACATACGTGGATTCTTCCTATATGTTAAAGTGTTCATGTTAACTTGAAAACATGAAATTGAAGCGATTACATTTTAGAAACCATAGCCGGCCCGGTACCAAAGCCAAGGAAAACATGATCAAATTAAAACGCAAACAATTACTTTGCGCTCCTTAGTTTTTAATACATATCTGATATTAACTATTTTTCCTACATATTAATATGTTGTAAATTCAACACCAAATTTCCACTGTATGAAAATTAAAGGAAAAGAATCAACAACTCACCTTTTCGCCAACGAGAACGTGCATCGCCTCTTTCACTTTCGCGAAGCTTCCCTCGCCGATGGTCGGGCCGAGGAGATAGGGTCCGAGCCGTTTCGTGTGCTTGTAGGAAGCCATCAACTCTTTCGACAACGCCGATCGCCCGACGACCGTCATAACGCCCTGCAACTGAGGCCCGTAATTCCTCCTCGTGGGCATCGACGATGTCCGCTTGTTGATCGATGACCTCGGCCTGGTCGCGACGTACTGGAGGGGCTTCAGAGCCGACATACCGCGACGATGCGGTGTTGGCAAAGGTTGATGGAAGCGATCGCCTGCCCTTTCCAAACGGCCGATCGTTTCGCTACTGCGATCCAACGGCAGACGACAGGTCAATGACACAATGCGTGGCGTGTCGTATACAAATTGATATCGATATCATAAAATAATCTCATTAAATAAATATGCAATATTTACAGTGGGTATATTAGGTGAGGGTTTCGCCCAGAAGACAATGCGATATTGCCATGAGTTTTTATCTAGAACAGGAAGACCTTTCAGATCATTCGACTAGGGAGAAAAGAAGAGTGAGACATAGATGAGAGAGGGGCAGAGATTGACAGAGGAAGAGAGAAAGAGAGAGAGAGAGAGAGAAAGAGAGAGTGAGAGAGAAAGAGAGAGTGAGAGAGAGAGAGAAGGGGAAAGAGAAAGAATGAGAGAAGGGTTTGAAAAGGAGATAAGAGAGAGGGAGGGAGATGGAGAGAGGGGGAGAGGAAGAAAGAGAGAGAATGAGAGAAGGGTTTGAAAAGGAGAGAAGAGAGAGAGGGAGAGAGGAAGAGAGAGAGAGAGAGAGAGAGAGAAAGAGAGAGAGAGGGAGAGAGTGAGAGAGAGGGGGAAGAAAGGGGTAGTGGTTTCGGAAGACTGAAGTGAAAGAGATGTCCATAGCAACCGGATCACTTTCAAGTTTGGCGACAAGGTTGTCATTGTATCGGGTTTGGAGCCAATCTTTGAGGTTTGCTATCAAAGCAATAGGACCTATATCATTACCAAGGTTTCATTACTTTACTAATAATCAGGAGATTGTAACGAATTCGACCCTTCCTTGTGTCCAATAAGTGGCATTTACGTACCCTTGTCCTTGTTTCCCGAACTGGTAGTGCTGATGGTGAGATGTCGGTATACTTATACATTCCAATTTGTCCAAGTTCATGGAGTTGAAATAGAGCAAATTTTATTTGAACAAAAATGTAGAAAGAGATGATGGGTATATATTTGATTGATTGATTCGAATTTTTTCCATTTCCTATATCAATTGTTTGCACACTAAAGAACATAGTTGACAAATTAAGTTTAAAATTATGAAATGAAACAGGAACCTACTGGAAAGCATAGCTTGTTTTTGTAGGTTCCCAAGAATAAATATAATATGAACATTATTTTCATCAATCATATTAAATTGTCTTAATAATCACAGTAAAAAATATATATTATATAATAACATATTTTCATAAACTCTTTTAAAGTGTCTAAATAATCGAAATATACAAAAAGATCAGAATTACAAAAAAACGGGACACAAAGGACAGGAAACTGACGTAGGAAGATAAGACAAGACATGACAAAACAATTCAAAACATGACAAGATAATCAAGACATGACAGGACAAAACAAGACAAAAACAAAGACAAGGCTGCACACTACAGAAATGTAACCATCCTCACACCGACAATGTAAAACAAACTTCGTTTCATTTCGATTCAGTTGACGACAAACAGTGTTTCACATAGTACTGATCTCGTGTGCATTCTGTTGATAAAGCAGGTCCATATTTTTGGAACGATTTTAGAGAAGTGTTGAGCGTATACACCCAGAGGGCGTCAATCCTAGCCGGGGTTCTCAGTCATGTACTGTAAGCATGTGTGACCACAGGTGTTCCTGAAACCCTCTACACGAGGATTTCTTCTGGAACCAAAATACATCTATAATGAGGATTTCGCATGTTTTTTTCCCGAATTCACACCCTAAACGGGTTTTAAAAAAAGTGTATTCCTAAACAAGTATTGTAAAATTGTAACCTCTTGAGCATTTTGAAGTGCGATAGGGATTACCATTTCAGTTGTTGACAATGTAAAATAAATCAAATTGCGCTTCTGATGTAAAATTCACAATGTAAATATTTATTTCAATGGAGAAGCAATAACATCAACCTGTACACTTCAAAATAGGTTTAATGCGCAGACATCATAAGTCCTTTCTTTAAAAAAAAGAATTGCCTTTCAAATTCGATCTAAAGTGCATGTAGTGTTTACAAAAAGTACACAATGTACAATGAACAGTTCATATTCTACTATGCAAAACAAAGTATAATGGACCAGCTATCTGCGTGAGACTTGGTAGGTCTGGGTCGGTATCGTGAGCATCCATCTTGATCTACTGAAGATCTAAAGAGCGACAGACGCAGGCGGTGGCCGGAAGTCTCGCCAATGCGCATTATCACCACTCCCCCCCTTTTTTTTCCCCCTCCGGTCTGGCCCTGGTGGCTAGAAAATTACCATAAACGCGTATACCGGCGCGTACAAAAGAAAACCGAGAACTTTCGATGTTTTATCATAATTTTATCACAATTATTATTAATAAATGGCACATATTTTTAAAGCTTAGATCCTACTCTTTCATTTGATGCAACTTATATTTCACGCCTGAGTGATAACAATCTATTTGAAGAGAGGGAAACAAAAAGTCATTTGGCGGACGGTATCAGATTTTTCAAAGAGAAAATCACATTTTCTAGAAAGTTCATTTTCTGCCCTTTCATAAGACACCTCAATCAGGAAAAACGAGCTAGGAATAACAAAGTTCTGTTTGTTTAAAATGATGCTTGCATTTTCATAATGTTATTAAAAGAATTCGTTTTCCCTGGTTGCCTGCCGTAGCAACAAACAGAATTGACAAAAGACTTAACTCTGTTTCGTTGACGATCAGACATAGACGAAAGACATCATGGGGGAAGGGGCACTTATTAAAGGTGTTAAGCAGCGCTAATAAGAATGCGGTTTCGGTTTTCGCCCCCTCCCCCTCCCCTCCCCAGGAAAAAATAATTAATTACATTCATTAATATATAAATAAATAAACAAATAAATGCACAGAGGAGGCAGCTTGAAAGAAGAACTTATCAGAGAATTGCAGTTTGATTGGAAAATATAACCGAAAGATAAAAGTGTTTCATATTGCGTTATGCGCAGCTAATTGTTTTTATGACTTCTTGTATTATCTTTCAAAATACACAGTACTAAAGATCGTCACTTGCATGATGGCTTTCATTTATTGCCTCGTGATCTCTTCGGAGTAAAGGGGGCGCTAGACCAGTATAATGTACAGGTGAGGGCTTTAAACACGTACTAAAAGAGCCGATATGAAACTTTGTAAACAAGAATAGAAAATTATCCAGCACGGAAAACAGGTAGGCTTCGGGGATTGAATTGTGTATGCGTTAATTCGTTTACAGAGCCAGGTGATTTTCAACATATTTTGAGACGGTCCCTGCTTGATCTGTCAGTCATAATGGAATTTCGTACAGGTGTTCGTACTGGTATATGCACACAAGCCCGATATTAACATTTATGGAATTCATGTTATCTGCAGCCTATTCATAGTCGCGTGGCGTATGTATATTTCTTTTTGGGTCCCGGACGCAAAAATTTTTTTTCCTAAGAACTTTGAGCTCGCGAGGGGAGGCTGAAAGCACGTGCTATTTTGTTCTTGCACATATTGATTGGCTACGGTAAAGACACGTGATAATCAAGGTACAGCAGATTAAAGCCGATTGGTTTGCACTGATAAAATCAGGGTAGTTGATTGGATGCAGTCTCTTTTGTTACGTCTCATCGTTTAGTGACTTTAGAAAAAATCGTCCTTGCAGTCAGTGTCGTAATGAACAAAACCTTGGGGATAGGAAGTTGCACGTTGATCTGTTCAAGTTCTTACTTTAATTGCTAACTTTAAAATTATTTCAATACATTATTTTGCAAGATAAACAACAGCGGTAGTTAATGAATCGTTAGTTATTCTGTTTACGGTTACACCTCATTCATTGCAGGGCCGGGAAATTTGGGTTTTTTTTTTCTTCAAAATTACAATTTTAAGACGGACGTATTTTTTAAAGTGCGTATATGTTAATGTGTTAATTTGTACGTTTCAGAATACTTCAGCTTTATTTCAATTTCATAATGACATCATTTAAGTTTTCCCGCTAGGTTTTAACTTGCAAAATTTCACGGACCCAGTTTCCCTTTCTCTTCATTTTGAAGTCCTCACAATGTTCAACGTTGTACATTTCCGTTTTTTCGGCCAAGCAGATAATTTAAGAGACTGTTAAAGATTCATGAGGTTTTAACAGCAATTTGTCGATTTTTAAATCTTGCAATATTTTCCTCACTTAACTTTTGGGAGTCGAAAACTTGTTCGGGTAGGGAAGGTTGTTTTTGTAGAACCCCAGCAGAGAATTTTGAAATCAGCAATTAATATTTGGTCAACCATCACATCATTGCCCTATCACGGTAATCGTTACCTAATTTATTCTTATAAATGTATTGAAACACATTTATACGGGATTTATATGGGATAAAAACAAGATCATGGTTCTGATTAAGGACATACAATAGTATAAAGGGGGCACTTGTCAAGTGAAAGGGGTAACTCTCAGATTTGAATAGGCCTAGAGCCCGGCCCCCCCCACTCAGTGTTATTTAGGGTACGCATATGCGTGTTCCAACCGACCCCCCCCCCCCCTTTCAGCAAAAGTCCGGTGTGTAAAGTCAATACGGCTCGACCTTTTTCTTTTGTATACGAGCCTTTTTCAGCACCCCCCCCCCCCTTTTCAGCAAAAGTCCGGTGTGTAAAGTCAATACGGTCGACCTTTTTCTTTTGTTACGAAAAGGACATTTTGGCAACACGCATGGGGTCCGTCCGTTCTCGGAGTGGGGGGGGGGGGGGGAGAGATTTTATTGTCCATAATATAATACAGAAATTTGTCTTCCATTGGTGTAACATGTAATATATAAAACATAAGACAAAAACATGGTGTCGTGTGCTGAAAGCCAGAAGGGCGTCAAGACTCTATAGAGAAAAAGTCTATGAGCAGATACGGTCCTCCGGCTTTCAGCCCAACACATAACAAGACAGATTATGACTTATACATAGCAAGAATTCTAAATTCAATTCTGAATCACATCATGAATAAATTCAGGTAGGAATATAAATGTGAATATGAAAGTAGAATAGGAGCAGTATCACGATCGAAATACGAGCAGAAAGAGAACGGAAAAGAGAGCTCAAGCTCGAAGGACTGATAAAAGAGAGAAATATAGGGAGAGTTGGTAAGGGTCCAAAGGGAAAGGGGCAGACACGTAGCCAGAGTTTGATGTTTGGGGGTGGGGGGTGGGGCACATACATGTAATCGATCGAGGTAAAAAAAAAAAGGGGGTCTAAAAAAGTTCAACCGATCTTGGAAATTTTGGGGGGCACGTGCCCCCCCTCCCGTACCTTCCCCCTTGCACCCCTCTCCCGTGGCTACGTGCCTGGAAAGGGGAGAGATAGAAGGAGAGAGGGCATAATTTCCAATCATAATGCATGACAGAAAATACATCACCATAGTACTGTAGACAAAAATCAGCAACAGAGCTAAACAACGGATGTGTTTGACCCACAGAGGTGATAAGGTGGAAAACTTTCCAACCCAATCCCTACAAATTTATTTTACTGGGTGGGTAGAGAAAAAGTTAACAAATAATCATAATCGCTATTATCGCTATTATCGCTATTATTTCGCCCAAAGCTGAGAACTTCGTGTTATTTGTGCAATATAGATGTATGGTGGCTCTGAAGGGACATCGCGAATCGACTAAATCGTGAACTTTTCACGATAAAGTTCACGATATCGTGAATTTTATCGCCAATTTTTCACGACGAAATTCACGAAATTCACGATATCGTCAATTTCGTCGTGAAAAATTGGCGATAAAATTCACGATATCGTGAACTTTATCGTGAAAAGTTCACGATAAAGTTCACGATAAAATTCACGATTTCGTATATTTTATCGTGAACTTTATCTTAAACTTTTTTCTCCTGGCTTGGGCGCTTCGTAAACAAAACCAGCCCTAGCTTGATTGAATGAAGACGATTAAATATTATGACGAGACGTTTTTACGATGATTTCTGTGAAAATGGTAGGTTTAACTTCATATTATGCTCTATTTGTATTTTATCTTTGACAAGATAGGGATGAAAGTAATTGCACAGCGGAAAAATTACCCGGTATGCAATTAATTAATGGTTTAACAGTTAGAGATGCACTGTTTTTTCCCATACATTCATTTCCATGTTGTAATAGACTATTGAGTAATGTAATTGATCTAGATCTAGGCCTACTTTTATTAGTAGGCCTACGTACTAGCACACTCAATTTCTCAAACTGAGTCAACAAAGACTGACAGAGTCGATGTAGAACTAATACTAATAAGTAATAGGTAGCAGCGGCTAGCAGAATATAGAATAGTAGCATTCTAGTGCACTAGACTAGTAGACCGAATTTTCTGTCTCTTTCGTTCGTTAGCCTCTTAAGTCTTATTAGGGTAGGGTCGGCTCCCTCTCATATTGGGGTAGGGTCGGCTCTCGGGTCGGCTCTCACTTTAGAGAGAGCCGACCCTACCCCAATAAGAGGCTAACGAACGAGAGAGACAGAAAATTCGGTCTAGTGCACTAGCTAGCTGCATGCAGCTGATGCAGACCTACATGTAGACTATAGGCTCCAGTGATTATTGCATTGGCAGACATTTTATTTTTAATATTTTTTTCAATGCTTGCAACAACATGAATTATTAATTAAGCTAGGGCCTAGCCTAGGTCATTCCAGTAAAGCATAGGAATTCTAGACATCTCGCCACAAAGACAACCCGCCCCAAGACAACCCGCCACAATACCCTGGACATCTCGCCACAATACCCTGGACAACTCGCCACAAGCGAGTTGTCCAGGGTGGGGTGCCTTTTCGGACAACTCGCCACACTTTTTTCCCCTCATGATTTCTAGATTTAAAATCCCTCATCTTAGATGAAATTGTCATTTTTCATGATTTTCGTGCTTTTATAAACATAGTCATTACAAAGAATAAAGAATAAAGCTGATTTCCCTTGCAACAATAATATATTTTTGACAAACCGAAGGCGTACGATCGCCATATCATTGGGATAACTTGGTATTTAGATCTCGAGGTCTATAGCAGCTGCATCTTTCTGTCTCAGAAATTGTTTAATGGTAGGATACTGGAAGCACTGGTGTACTGATGAGGGGGGGGGGGGGAGGTTATTTGACCTGCGAAATAAAATTGAAATGTGATCTATTTCTAGATTTTCTGGGTTAGTTTCGTCAGAGGCGGCATTCTTCATGGGGGGGGGGGGGGGGGGGGACACTGTGCCCTCACTTTTTCAGGTTCCCCTAAAGGGCCCCTTTATCCTTTGTACATGTCCTTTTTCTCTTCTGATAATTTTTAATGGTAGGAATTCATGAAAGGGTACTGGAAGCACTGGCGTCCTGATGGGGGAGGGGGCAGTTGACCCGCGAAATAAAATTGAAATATGGTTTATTTCTAGATTTTCTAGGTTAGTTTCGCACAGTCCAAAATAGATTCTTGTTGCGGGTCTTGTTGCAAGCGCAAGGAAAATCATCTTTATTCTTTAGAACAGCTCTCAAAATACTCACAATTTCCATGTTTCCTGTCATGACAGTGTTTATAAAAGAATAATGAACAAATAAAATGACAATTTCATCTAAGATCATGAAGATGAGGGATTCTAGATCTAGAAATCATGAGGGGAAAAAAGTCTGGCGAGTTGTCCGAAAAGGCACCCCACCATGGACAACTCGCCTGTGGCGAGTTGTCCAGGGTATTGTGGCGAGATGTCCAGGGTATTGTGGCGGGTTGTCTTGGGGCGGGTTGTCTTTGTGGCGAGTTGTCTGGACCCCAAGCATAGTAGCACTAGTAGACCTCTATAGCGCTGCATACGTGCTGAGAGGGCAATCGATTGCACACAATTACACACTCGTGGACACAATGAGTACGAAGTGGCTGATATGATCGGCAAGTTTGACAGTAGACTCACGATTTTAATTTTCAAAGAATTTTTTCTAACATCGGTTAGTTGAAAAGACTATTTTACTGCTATATAGGTGTCATCAATTGTCACTAAAGTACCAATTTATTTTGAGTGATCTCAGTTGAGTTTTGTACAGTGTTGTTTAAAATGTTGAGAATCAATAGAGGTAATACAAAAAAGTACACTAATGCTGCTATGTGTGGCCTAGGTCGGATATTGTTTCCAGAGTGATGGTACTGCAACTGCAGAGCAGGGTTTGAAAGATATTTATTTAAAAAGTAAACCAAAAATTGTACATGGCCAGGCCCATGCATGCAGACACGGACTGTTAACCGTGGTAACACTAACAATATGTAAAACTGTATCGGAGCTTGGAGATAATTGATAATTTATGACACTGATGCAGTGATAGATCCAAACTTCTGGAGCAAAATCAAACTTGTCTTCAATCCTGAAAATCTCTCTGCCAAATAATTGTCTAAATTCTGTTTCTCTGTGTAATCAAAAATGTATTCTTTATGTTATTATTGCAGGAACTACTGACTACAAGCATGAAATAGATGTGACGCAATTGGATTTAATTGATCAACAGTACTGTTTGGCAATGGGAGAAAGTGGTAACGGGAGGACCTTTGCTTATTTGTTCCTCCTCGATTTGGCACCATTCAGTATCCAGTGATATTTCTTTTGTATTGTGTTGTTTCGGCAATATATCAATAAAGCAACAGTTTGACTGACTTGCCTGCATCATCACTTTTGTGCTGAAAACCTTATTTTGGTTGTTTGAAAGTCGCCATTTTCCTTTTTTATCCTCAACATTGACCTTCCGTGTCTTCATTCATCATCAGAACTCTACCTTTGACATCGACCATTCGTTTCTTTGTTCATAATCATCATGATAACTTTACTTTCGCCATCATCGACATCGTTTCTTTGTATGAAGACCACGCCATCTTTCTGTTTAACAGTATACAAACCCCAGTTTGTATATTTACACCGTCGATTTCCGTTCTTTGTTTGAAGATCAGGATTTACGCTTACCTTCCACATCGTCAGAAACTTTGCTATTCTTTTCCACATCGTCTCTTCTTGTTTCTTCGACATCGTCAGAAACTTCGGTCTTCTTTTCCACATCGTCAAATCTTGTTTCTTCGAGATCATCAAAAACTATACCTTTGTCGTCATCAACAGAATAGACCCTAATTGTTTCTTTGACATCGTCGGTTCATCATCATTGACAATAACATCAACGCATTCGACAAGTTTGATGATAATGTAGTGTAATTTGAAAAGCGGCAGTCTTTCGCTTTATAAATAGACTACCTTAATTGTTAACATGTGACTGTTATTGGAATATTTCCTGGCTAGATTTTAGCACGGATTTGAATAAACGCTCATGGTTTAAATGATATATCTTGTGTCCACTATTTTGTATTATAGCTGTCTGGTCTCTCGTGAATCACAGTAGAGAGAAAAGGAAGAATTAAATTAGGAATTAATTGGGATGTTGACCAAGTTACGATCATCGATCATGATCATTCAACTCCTAATCCAGTTCTTGCCAAAACTCTATATGCAGCAACATCTTTTCAAAAAGCCACAAACATGCTCTGAAGCACTCATTTTTTATGGTAATTTGATCCAATTATTTGATTGTGTTTGTTACAAGGACACGTCTGTATAATTTCTGAACGTATTTTACACCGTATCAAAGATTGCAGTAACTTCTTCCTTTACAATATACTGCTCTAAGGATAAGCCATGTTGGGAGGGCCACAGCCTTCTGAAGTCTTAATAAATGCATATTCCACATTCTTACTCTTTTTCTTCCTGTTTCTTGATCCCCTCCTTTTCTTTCTTTCTTCTCTTTTCTCCCTTTTTATTCTCTTTCTGTCTATTTTTCTTCTTCTCTTTCTTCTTCTGCCCCCTTTTCCTCTCTCATTCTTATTTCTTCTTCTCATTCTGCTTCCTATCATTCCTCTTGGTCATGTTTCTTGTTATGCTTAATTCATCATTCATACTTGTTCTACAGCTTTTGTATGAATGTAGAGTTCAGATAAAATCAATTTGTTTTCTCTCTCTATAATGTAATTTACACATATCAGTCACATATATTGTTTCTAAATTCTATTTATTAATTTTGAATGCATTGTCTGTTTGGAGCCACAGTGGCATTGATCTGTATTACTTTGACATGGAGTCAGGGCCCTTGTGACCCCAAACAGACGATATGTTAAACGTGTCCGTTAATATTTGTCTACATTATGCATCACAAATTCCATTAGGAATAATATGAAGTATTAGCCCTGCATTGTTAATAATAAAACATGACCTGGGCTTCTTCTCTTTTCTACTTGTAGTATCTATACAAGTGTATGTACTATAATCATGTTTGTTAATAAAGTGATATTGAAACAAAAACTGCTGCAAAATTTAAGAAACTGAAATTGGGGTTTTCTGCCTACAACAATAAACTCAAATAGGGCATTCTGTCATCAATATTCATCTTCAAACATATTTGTTTTAAAAAATATTTGCAGAAGTGTGTGTTAATTTTTGCCACAAAACTTGGGCTGCTAACACTTTACATTTCTTGAAACCTCTCAAAAACTGATTACACTTGAAACGTGTAGTGTTTGTTGACACATGAAGTAATAACCAACACCAAACATGATTATGGTAACATTTGTTAGGTTATTTTAATATAAACTGTATAAACAAGTATGAACATAGGAAAATAGATCTGTAGTTGATACACACAGCTTTTGTAATAGATTTTCAAGAACATTTAAAAAATGTGCTTAAAAATGCCCATCTATTTAGTGTGGAAGACAAAACAGAAGTACATTTAATAACATAATTGGCGGTAATGCTTATTTGCAGGGGTGGCGATTTCTTTTCATGACCGGGGGGGACGAAATGCGAAGGACGGGGGAGCAGTGGCGTATATTGAACAAAAACGTTGGGGGGGGGGGGAGAAAACAAATCTGCATCCCCACTCTAACATTGTACATGCAGGCCTCGCGGAACGTTTTTCATAGAGGGGGAGGCTAAAGTATTTTATTAGGTAGAGCAAAGCGAGCATAGCAAGTGGAGCGTAAATTGGCATGTGGTCCAGGGGCGTAGGCCCGTGAAGCTCATGGGTTTTAGGCATTTAATAACGGTCAGATGAGCATCCAGGGGCTCGTCGTAGAGCCCCTGGTGGGGTCCAGGGGGCAGAGCCATGCCATTTCAGCAACATTTGTAAATCACTGGTATCGAGTTAGAAATAAATCAAGTTTGAATTTTATCACGGGGGCAATTGCCCCCAAGCCCCCCCCCCCCTCATCATTACGCCAAGGCGAGGGAGCAAAGAGAAAGAGAGGGGTAGAGGTTACGGAAGTGACTATCACCTCACAGGTTTTTGAAGTTTTGTTGTATTAACAAATTACATACTTTAATTAGCAAAAGAATAGTATAAAAACAAGCAATATACCTGTTTCACACTTCACTTTTCGAGAATATTTACTGTACACTTCGAAGAATATTATGCGGGGGAGCGTAGCTCCAGAGCGAGAAGATTTTTGCATTTTTATTTGTCTAAACGCTGCACTCTAGGGCCCTCCAGAGCCTAAAAGTTTGTTACAGTCTTTAGTCAGTATTTGCTATACACTTTTTTTCTCACTTTTTCAATTTTTCAGGGGGGGATGATCCCCCCCCCCTAAAAAAAATTGAGGGGGGGGGGGGGGACGGGATCGCCGCCCCTGCTTATTTGAGAATGGAAAATTGCAAACATATGAGTATCTTATATGGCATCAAATGACCATTTGCTTCAGCAATGTGAGAGCCAAACAATTGCTAAACAATTTACATGTATAAATAGTGGAGAGAAAACTTTGGAATGAACGCAAGTATTTTTTCCCCTTGAACCATAATTGCGTATCAATATCATTTCAATACCTTTATTACAACATACAGATGTATAACAAGAGATCAATGGACCTTGTGTTTAACAGAGCCTGTAAAATTAGTGGCCACATCAATTATTACTATACTATATTACTATATTATCACTTGTGCCCTTGGGTACCTACATCGAAAATGTACCACAGATGATTATTTCTTTAATATACCCCCCCCCCCCCATGCATAAACATCTGGCAACACTACGTACAAGAGACCTAAAAGTAATAATTTTCCACAATTGAGACCCTTAGGGGAGCACTGCCCCTGAGTCCTCATGAGGGGCAAAGTAATCAATACAAACAAATTCAGATCCCCTCTCAAAATGTCAAATTTTATTGAGTGTCAGCATTAAGTTTTAGAGTCAAAGTAAAGAAATTGCTATATACATGTATGGACATTTTCGGGGGTTCCGTTGAGGGGCAAGGTACCTCAACAACCTATCATTTCTCATGAATAATCCCTGCCAAATTTGATTAAATTTTGTTGTACTGATGTATTTTTTCAAAGAAAAATTGAACAATTAACCTTAATGCTTCCTGCTGTAATATGTGCCGGAGGTATAAAAGTAAAGTTAATCTTTACTAAAGACCCCCCCCAAAAAAAATATATATATACAAAATTAAAAAATTAAAAAAAAATCCTCATATTAAAGGTACTATGTCCCTTTTGCAGCCAACCTAAAATTCTGTAGAACTTTGCAGGAATTATGAATATGTCATGTATGTCCTATCTGTAAAATGTAAACGTTAGCAGTGTCCTAATATTCAAATTATGCAAGGAAACCCGTTTATACTTGCTAGACTTCACTGTCAGACACTATTGAGTGTCTGACTGGCTTTTTTTTCTTCTCTGGTAATAACATACATGAAATGAGCTGTAAAGGGTACATTAACATTTGTCTACATCAATAACCCACTTCTTGTGACGGCCAAAATTAAACTGATTGAATCTTTGCGCAGCATAAAACAGATGACCATTCGGTACAATGGTCTGAACATCAAGACTGTTACTTATTGGCCCATTTGAAGACTTTTTCAAGCCCAACTTTCTTTAGGGCAATTCTAAATTAGTATTATCTTTCAAATGTCATGGAATTTAACCTTTTCATTTGTTTTGGCCTGCAAATGGGACATCAATCATGAGTGTCCCATTTGATATTGGACTGCATAAACACTCCGAGCAGCTTGATGACATTGCAGTGTTGGACAGTGTGATCAGCAAGGATAAGGCGAGAGGGCATCGGACAAATAGCTCGGGCAATGTCATGCTCAGATGATTCTGGGCAGTGGCGTCGAAGTCTGAGGATTCTACAAATGCGCTTCACCTGCCGAACACTATAAAGGGAAAGATAAATATATCACAGTTTAAACCCTAAATACAATTAAATATATACTATAATAATATTAGGAGGCCCCAACAGTTGATTTAAAATTATGCAATAGCATTATCAGATATTTTATGAGCATGCCATTCAAAGCAATGATACATGAAGGTGGGTTTTATGTTATTAAGAAATGTTCCAGGTTTTTGAAAGATTTATATTTCGGGTTAGGTACATCCATGAATAAAATTATAACAAATACAAAAACATCACGTATACAAAAATTGTTTCATAGTTCATACCTCTCTTCCTGATGCCATCTCGATAATGCTCCATGAATACCCTGCTACCGTAAGAGGCAATCTGGTAAAGTACTGTGCATTATAGAATTTGTGAAATCAAGGAGCAAAACTATTTTTTTTTAAACTTAGAAAAGCATCCACATATACACTAAATAACTGTTTTCACATCTATTATATCAAGAGGTTAGCTTTGGAATACTAGTTACTCATGTGTTAAGATCCTACCAATGGTTTACACATAAAGTGAAGTATTGCAGAACACTTTTGGGGTTGAAATCAAATGAATTGCACATTTACAATGACTTGAAAATATGTATGACTTAAAATTTTTCAAAGGTCATACATTTAGGTCTGTGACATTGTTCCTGATTAAAAGAACATTAAGACTCGTAAGCATACCAATATACCAGTACAGTTCTCTTGATGCCAATATTATAGAAGTGGTAACCTTGCTTGATTCATAATGCGGAATGAGGATCGCTATTCATAATACGGGAAGAAGGTTGCTATTCATAATACGGGAAGAGGGTCGCTATTCATAATACGGAATGAGGGTCGTTATTCATAAAAATTAAATAAGCAAACAAAATAATAACAAGGGGAATTTTGAAAAGGGGACACCCCCACTCCCATGGCTGTGGCATAGCGATGGGGGGGGGGGGGGATGATACATGGCCTTGAATATTTGTCGAAAACATTTATTGAAAACAAACATTTTTGAAGAAATAAAGAAAAAAAGGCGTGCTACAATAATGTACATCACCCCTACCCCCAATCAGTCCGACCACGCTGCGCCATTCGGCCCACCCTCCCTGCAGCATTCCCTTAGGACAAGTACATATTACCAACAATTTTCGTCAAGGGGATAGACAAAAAATATCCGCACCACCCCACTCTTACATGCAGGCCCCGCTGAACGTTTCTAAAGTAGGTGAGGGGGGGGGGGGGGGTAGGTACAAATTAGGTAGAGCATTGCATAAATTAGCGTGGGGTCTTGGGGGAAGCCCCTGCGGGGGTCAAGGGGTGGAGCCCCTAGAAGCTCAGGAGTTTTATACATTAAATTACCATCGATGAGCATATTTTTATACCCTATTTGTGACACTGACGGGTCACGAATTGGCGTGGGGTCCAGGGGCGGAGCCCCCAGAAGCTCAGGGGTTTTGGGTAATAAATTACGGTCAGATTAGCATCTTTTGATACCTTATTTGTGACATTGACAGGACACAAATTAGGTTAGCTCCAGGGGGCAGAGCCCCTGAAGCTCAGGGGCTTTGGGCAATAATTACAGTCAGATGAGCATATGAGCACCTTATTATTTTGTGACAAAGGCAGGTCACTATTCTTTCTTTCTTTCTTCATGAATTTGCCATTTTCCAACAAACGCATAAAAAAGTATAATTTACTAAACATTGAGGGAAAAATCTCTGAAAATTATGTCATTTCAGCAGCATTTGTAAATCACCGGTATCGAATTAGAAATAAACCGAGCCCCCCCCCCCCCCCCCCCGATCTACACCTTATTGGCGGGAAAAATTGTAACTGTTCTCCCCTTCTTTTTTTCTTCCTCTTTTTTGTTCCCTTTTAGCTCTCCTATTTCCCTTTCCCTTCCTTCCCCCCGTTTTGGGGGGTGGGGAAGGGGTGGAGGCAAGGGCTTTTTGCAACTCTTCTTTCTTTCTCTTTCTCCCCTCTTTCCCTTCTTTTCCTTCTCTCTCTTTCTTTTTCTTTTTTTTTTTGGGGGGGGGGGCAAGGCCCGCTGGCCCCCCCCCCTGGATCAGCGCCTGGTTATATTAATTAAAATGAATAGCGACCCTCTTATTGTATTATGAATAGCCACCCTCTTCTCGTATTATGAATAGCGACCCCCTTCTCGTATTATGAATAGCCACCCTCTTCTCGTATTATAGCGACCCCCTTCTTCGATTATGAATAGCGGTTCTTACATGTATGAATAATGACCCTAATGAATAAAGACCCTTTTCTCAAATTATGAATAGCGGTCCTTATGAAAGCGGTCCTTATGAATAGCGGTCCTTATGAATAATGACCCTCTTCTAGTATTTTGAATAGCGACCCTCATTCCGCATCATGAATAGCCACCCTCTTCTCACATTATGAAAAGCAACCCTCCTATTCGATTATGAATAGCGGTTCTTACATGTATGAATAATGACCCTAATGAATAATGACCCTTTTCTCAAATTATGAATAGTGGTCCTCATGAATAGCGGGCCTTATGAAAGAGGTCCTAATGAATAGCGGTCCTTATGAATAGTAAGCAGATCTCATTTTAACAGACCTTTAGATGAGCATACATGTGGTATGTACACTGCATTTCAACTTTTAAACAAAAAGGGTAACTGCCCAATTCTCCATTGACAATTCTAACAGGTCTTAAAAATAAAGTAGTCCTTTTTATATTTAAACTGGTGTCTATTGGACATTTCTAGTTCATACCTTTACAAATAAAAGTATTTCTTGTGCAAGCTTCATTTAAGGTTCTTGTTAACATTGTTCAGATGATAGAAAATGGTGATAAGGTAGTGACTTCAATGCTTGATATACATTTAAAGATAATCTGAAAGTTTGAGTGAAAACAGGCTATCATTAATGATCAAAATTTGAAAAAATGATCTGCTTAATTCCGGAATTCTCCCAACTATATTATCATATGTATCAACTAGGTTTTTAGCAAGGACAATTTAAAAAAAAAAGTATTACCAGTCGTTCGACTGTAGTAACACTCCTTCATAAAGAAAACAACATCTTAGGCCAGCCCCCAGGGGTTGTTAAAGAGAAGGGAATGCGAGGGATATGAAGGGAAACAACATCAGTGTCTGTAACAGCAGCTTAGCAATCTATAACCCGTCATTATCTAAGATAATTTTTATTTTGTTATCATTTCAACGCATACACTTAATAAGGATACATTCAGCTTAGTTCCCATCATCCTGAGCTGGTTTGTATGGAGTGTTGATACATGGCAGTTGTACTACAAGTTGTAGGGCTTGCTTGCATGAATGCCAACCAGGTAATCTGTTGAATGAATAATAAAAGAAACATATGCAAACAAAATCTAGTGATAAACTTTGCACATTATAAAAGAAAAAGAAAAACATCATAACACTTTTTTTTTACTACAAGAGATGAATTTTTGTAAGATAATCACACTGTGATTGGATTACCCTTTAGCGTTTACGGTTAGACTTCATGCATCGTAGGACTCTACGAGTTCGCTGCCCATCGACTAAAAAGTTATGAGTCTTATGTTTTTATCAAGTTTATGACAGAGATATAACCGTGTCAGAGGCGTCATAAATACATACGGTAGTACTTAGTCAGGATGTTGTCCTTAATCTTGGCAAAGAGGTCTTCTTGAAACATGTAGCGGACAAGTAGCTTACTAAAGCTGATTTGGTCAAGAAGTTAGACTTATGACGGTTTCGAGAAACGGGCCCCTGGCCTGGGTGCTAGCCGTAATTCGCTAAATAGACTAGTGAATACCTAATAGTAATATAGATCTAACTTAAAGTGACTCGGTAACATTGCCTCAGATTCTGAAACAGAATCATGGATTTAGCTCATGCTGCAATCATAATTTTAAACCTTTAGCTTAGCCTCTGTTAGGTCAGTCAGGAATCCCGTGACTTTTACAAGCCAATCGTCTGTCTGATTATCAAGTTATTTATGATTGGAAATCGAAATCAAACTTTGCGTTTTCCTAACGGTTTTTATAAACTAGGGCCTAAGCCTAGTCTATTCAGGAAAATAAGTATGGTAAAACCGGTCACTCAAAGATTATTACTTTTTTGAGCCACTTCATGATCATTTTGAAGCGAAATTTGTTTAGGGCTTCAATATTCAGTAGGGAAGCTGGTACAAGAATAAGGATCATCTGCATTTTCGCAGACGTTTCCAATTTCCAATCCGCGCGTTGGTGATGCGAAAAACGGATTCCGCAATGTTTTTATTGATGCATTTTACATTGACTTAAGTTTGTACAGAGACTTTCACATTAGGGGCGATAAATCCTCGAGA